TATATAGATGGCTTCTTTCCCTTTACTTTGAGAATTTCGCGTAATACTAAAGGATCTCATTATATGCGTGTATTTTAAAGAGAATTGCTTGAATAGTTATTTTTTTTTTTAAACTTTTGTTTTAATTTTACGTCAAAATTAATCACTTTGATGGATCGGATCATTTTATTGTAAAAGTCACCATAAAAAGGTAGAAAATATAAAAAATCTGCAATCGGTAACAGTCGGTAACAATTGATAATAGTCGATAACAGTCGGTAACAATTGATAATAGTCGATAATAATTGTCGATAACAGTTGATAAAAGTCTATAACAGTCGGTAACAGTTGACAATAGTCGATAACAGTCGATAATAGTCGGTAATAATCAGTAACTCTCGATATTCGAAACTTGAAATAAAAAAAAGAATCTACGAAGGAAGAAGACCCCTAAGAGCAGAAAACAATCCTCAAGTAGCCAGGAAGCAGGAAGGTGACAGTTCAAGAAGCCAATCATCAAAGGATGCACCTACTTTGTGGTCAAAACCTGAAAGGGAACTCAAAAGAAGAATAACAGGTCAAAAACCCAATTGTACCTAGAAAGAAAAATTTAATTTACCTAGATAGTAAACTTAATTTACCAGTATGGTAAAGTTTCACAAAAGTAGAAAAATTAAAATTTACAAATAAAGACAGGAAAAAAAAATAAAAAGTCGACAATCTTGATGGAAAAAGTGTGATAAAAGATAAGATTTTTTTTTATCTTCCTTCTCTTTTTTCCTCATTGGATTTTTAGTATAGGAAAGAAAAAAAAAGCTCACCTTATATATTATATCACTCAATGGATTGAATTTCCAGTTCCTTTTGAACGGTACAGGATATTTCGGCAGAAAAGGAAGTGATGCGAGCTCATAATGCAAGTAAAACCAGATAGTTTCAATGCTTATATGCGGGTATATACTTTCGTTTCTAAAGAAAAATTTTCAAGAAGTAAATAAAATTCATGGCTGAATTTATACGAGAGTATCAACTTGAAGGATTGGCAGAAGACGCGCAGCTGCCTTGAAATTTGAAACTATAAATTCACACTCTTCCGGTGTGATTCGTGAACAAAAAAAAAAAGAATGGAGAGGGGGGGGGGTTCACACAATATTTTATTAGCAGTTTAGAAATTCTTTTCTCTTTTGTATACACTTCTTAAATTGTTTAATGGATTTAGCGAAACTTTTTGTTTTTTGACCTAAATTTTGGTATAGTGCGGATTTTTTTCTTGTTAGTTGCTGGAAAAAAAGAATAAAATTGTTTGCGGACTCTTTTATTTACCTTTCTTAGTAGGAAACGGGAAATGTCTATAAAATTCAGTTTCTCACTTGTCGCTAATTGTTTTGACTTATTGACCTAAAATTTGGTATAATTCTGCTGTTTTTTTACCTGTAGGAAATATAGGGCGAACTTTTTTAAAGACGTTTTTAAACGACCTTTCAAACAAAATACTTGAAACATTCGGAAAATTTAGTCTCCCTCATCTATTTCCTTCCTTTTTGACCTAAAATTTTGTACAGTGATACACTTTTTAGGCTAATTGCAATAAACGTGTAACGATCTTGTTTCAAATAATTAGCTCTTTAAACCCTAAAAAACTTTTGAATTATTTTGCCATCATCCCTCTAGCTTCTTAATTTTTTGACCTACTGACTTAAAATTTGGTACATATTTGACATTTTTCTTTTTGATTTACGGAATTTTGAAGCAAAAAGTAGACAAGAAAATATTTCAACCTCTCTTTCCCAGATTCTTTATTATTCGACCTATTGACCTAAAATTTGGTACAACTTTTCATTTTTTCTTGTTCATTGCGCAAAAAATAAAACGAATTTTTTTTTGAAACGTTTGAAATTGACCTTTAGAAGCAGAACATTTGTAAAATTCAGTTTTTTTCTCCTTGCTCATTGTTTTTTTTTGACCTATTGACCTAAAATTTGGTACAGTTTTGCTACTTTTCTCGTTGATTACTAGAAAAATACAATATTTGACATCTCTGGAAATTGTTTTTCGAAAAAAATCTAAAACAGAAAAGATTTTTCCCTCTTATTTTGTAGATTCTTTAATTTTTGACCTATTGACCTAAAATTTTGTACAGTTTTTCTGTTTTCTTTGATAATTGCTAAGAAAACACAACGAACTCGTTCGGAATTGTTGTAAATTGTTATTTGAAACAAAAAGCTAAAAAATAGAGAAAAAATTTTTTGATCTTTAGATTTTTTTATTTTTTGACCTATTGACCTAAATTTTGGTGTAATTTTCATGTTTTTCTTGTTTATTGCGTGGAAAAAAAGGAACTGTTTTTGGAACAGTTAATATTCACGTTTTGAAACAGAATGTTTATAAAATTAATTTTTTCTTTCCTTGCTCCTTGTTTTTTCGACCTATTGACCTAAAATTTGGTACAATTTTCCCTCTTTACTTGTTCATTTCGTTAAAAAAAATTACGAATCTCTTGGAGAATGTTTAAAATTGACTTTTTAAAGCAAAAAATATGAAATGCCTTTGAAATACATTTTTCTCTACTAGCTTTTTCTTTTTCGACCTATTGACCTAAAATTTGGTGTACTTCTTCTGTTTCTTTGTTAATTGTTGTAAAAATTCACAGAAGTTGTTTGAAATTTTTGCAAATTGTTCTTTAAATCAAAAAACTAAATCTTAGGGAAGATTTTGTCCTGTCTTCTTTAGAATGTTTATTTTTCGACCTATTGACCTAGAATTTGGTACATATCTACTACTTTTCTTGTTGATTATTGGAAAAATTCAATGACTCTTTTTTTAAAACATTGTAAATTGTCGTTTCAATCCTAAAAACTAAGGCATCGGAAACATTTTCTCATCTACTTTTTCTTTCTTTATTTTTGACCTAATGACCTAAAATTTGGTACAGCTAAGCTTCTTTTCTTGTTGAAAACTGAAAAAGTGCAACGAGCTTGATTAAAATCTTTGCACTTTTGTCTTTTTAAGAAAAAAAAAAAAAACCCGAGAAAGGAAAGATTTATAGATTCTTCATTTTTCGACCTATTGACCACAAATTAGGTCAAATTCTCCCGTTTTTCTTGTTCATTGCGTGAAAAATCAAACGAACTACTTTTAGGTCGGTTAAAATTAACCTTTTGAAATAGAAAATATGAAATGTCTTCAAAATTAAGTTTTCCTCTCCTAGCTTCTTCTTTTTTTGACCTATTGACCTAATTTTTGGTATATTTTCGTTATTTTCTTGCTGACTTCTTGAACCTTTTTGAAATCGCTGCAAAATTGACCTTTGAAACCTAAAAACTAAAATATTGAGAATATTTTGTCTTACCCTCTCTATACCTTATTTATTTTTTGACCTATTGACCTAAAATTTGGTACAGTTTAGCTTCTTTTCTGGCTGATAACTGAAAAAATGCAACGAGCTTGATTGAAATCTTTGCACATTGTTCTTTGTATGAAAAAAATCAAAAAAAGGAAAGATTTGACCTTTTCTTTGCTAAATTTTTCATTTATCGACCTATTTGACCTAAAATTTGGTATATTATGGCTATTTTCTAGTTGATTCTTGCTTGAACTTGTATGAAATCGCTGCAAATTATCCTTTGAAACCGAAGAACTAAAACATTAGGAATATTTTGTCATCTCTATCTTCTTTATTTTTTGACCTACTGACCTAAAATTTGGTACACTTGCCCATTTCCACTGTCTTTTCTCGAAGACTTTAATAAAATCAGGTCAAAAACTTGATTTTAATAGCAAAAAATAAAAATACTTGTAGGGGAACATAGTCTAGGTCGGCCACCTTTTTGACTTTTGTTTATAACTTTTTTTTAAAAATGAATTTGGACAATTGAAGTATATGGTTGGAAAGTCCTGTTTAATAGGAACATTTTTTCTGTACAAAGTAAATTGACAGGTTTAAAAATGAAAAAGTTATAAAGATTTAAAAAAAAAAAAATTTGTAGTCCAGGTTAGCCATTACAGTCAAGGTCGGCCATGTTTAAAATTCAAAGGGCATTAATCGTTAAAAAATAAAATAACATGTTTGGAGTTACGGAAAATTGATTCTTTATTGTTTACAGTTTGTAACTTAATGAAATAACAAAATAATAACAATAAACAATATAAAAAAAAAATATAAATAAAAAAAAGTTTTGCACTAAAATATTAATAAAATTAAATAAAAATATTAATAAGATGATCAATTATATTATGAGTTATACAGAATTGCAGTTTTTGCAAATGAAGTAGCTCGTCCTCAACTTTGCGCATTTTAAACACATAGTGGCCGACCTTGACAGTAAGTAACATTACCGAATTGTTGTAACCATAAAGAAATACGTTTCGGGATTCGATTTTTTACTTTGTTTTCCTTTCAACCATGAGTCCCACAAATTTTCTGCATACTTGCCTTGACGATTCAATTTGTTTTTTATCTTTTATTAATGGTTTTTCACATTATGCACAAAACTTTTTTTGAGCTTTTTTTGTACCGACGTCACAGAAAACACAATTTTCGATTTTCCGAAAATGTAATTGAACAAAAAGTTAGGTTTCACTAAGACAAGCTTCGACAAAAATGCGCGTAGGTGGCGCTAGTGAACTTGACAAAAAAACGCGAGTGGCCTACCTAGACAGTAGGCCAACCTTGACTACATTCCCCTACACAAATATTTATCAAAATTAATTTCTAATCCTCGGCGCAAAATCCGCTATAAAATGGTCAATTTTCAAAAGAAAAGAAAGCGAATAAAAATGTGACTTTATAATTTTTACTCGCTTCATTGATGGTGATTGATGATCGATATCTCTCTCTCTCTTTTTTTTTGCTTCACCTCTAAAAGTATTATATTACCTTGGCATTAGATCTGGACCGACGACGACGACAACGACGGGTTTTGACCCGTGTGTTTGTCATATATATTGGAGGGTTCTTCGTGCGTGCTTGTTATATATATATATATATACGTATATATTTTACGATATCGGTGACGGGGAGTCACGGTCGAGCGTGCGGACTAAGGGAATCGGGCGTCGCGACGCTTCACGGGAGCGCCTCGAACTAAAACTCCGGAGCGCTTAAATGCTTTCAGTGTTGAATCCGCGATCGACGCGAACGTACACGTGCAATCGTAACGCACTGTGCGGGTACTATATATATAGATATATACATATATATATACAATTTACGTATTTGGAAAGTACGGTCTTTCTAGTCTCGGCAACTTTTCCTTTTCATCCCCCAATATTAAACCTCCACCCCCCCCCCCGAAAAAAAATCGGGCAAATGAAATATTTTTTTTTGTAAAAATTAATTTTTTATTTTATTTTTACATTAAAATATTTATTGATACTTGATTTTTATTAATCGAGAAAAAGGATATTAGAAAAATGGGTGAGAATTTATTTTTTCTATAGGAGATAATTTTTCGTTTTGAATAAGGTGATATGATCGAAAAAAGGGAAGTTGAGCTTTTTTTAGGGGATGTTTTTGCAAATTTTTGCCGAAATGCCCGGGGATTGATGCAAGAGGGCGTGGTATTGTTTTTCTTTTTTTAATCACTGCTGAAGAAAATTTAGAAAAGTGTCATCCATCCCCAATGGATTAAAGAGAATTTTCCCAAATTTTCATTTTCGATTTTTTTTTCTCAAAAGACTTTAAAAAGAAATTTTTAATTTCAACCTTTTTTTCTCTCTCTGTAATTTCTGTTTTCCAAAATTTTCTTCGATTTACTTTCCATTTCTTTGATTATTTCAAAATATTTTTGTCTCTTTTGATTTTTAAATCCGTTAGAAAAATCCCTTCTTTTGAAAATTGAATTTTTCAAAAATTAGATTTAGAAATTAGATTTTTAATTTCAAATTTTGCGAAAAGTGATTTTATCATTTGGAGAAAAATCGTGAATAATAGGGGGAAAAAAATGTTGAAGTAAAATTTTAATTTGAAAAAAAGAAAAGTTTTTGGAGTTGTGTGGGAATTGTTTTTTTTCCCTCGAAATGTAAAAAAAAGGGGTTAACGACTGAATTATCCTTAGGAAAATTTCTTTCAAGCGTGAAAATTTGGCCATTTTTCACCTTTCATCCCCTTTCGGTGTATAACAATTTTAACCCGAAACTTCAAGCAGGGAATAATAGTTTCGCGAGTAAATGAAGCGTACACCGAGAATTTAATGAGGTTTCCAAAAGTTTTTTTTTTTTTTTGCTTTTAAAATTGACATTGAATGCGTTTTTTATTCAAAATCAGATTTTTTACTAACTGAAGAATTTTATCATATCATAGAAATCAGAATTTTATTATATCGTAGAAATCAGTAATGATGATACAATTTTTTAATTATTTCTCCCTAATTATTAATAGTAATTAGAATATTTTTTGATTGAAGTATAATTTCAAACTTTAGTAAAATTATTAATTTTACTTTTTTTCCTTTTTTTTTCTGAAAATCAGTTGCAAATGGCTGTCAATTATTCTCTCGAATGTGATTCGATATAAAATTGTTGTGTATTTTTTTTTCGCCATGAAAACATTTGTTTTTCGAACGGAATACATCATCATGAAGAACTCTGGATATTAATTAACGTGCAAAAAAGGAATTAAAAAATGATGAAAATTTTACTAACAAAAAACGAGTTGATATTTATTTTATCCGTATGACAATTAATGTCTGTTACAACAATTTTTTTAACTGATTGTAAAAATGATTTTTTTAGGGGTTTATCATAAAGTCGTTTCTCGTTTTTAGAGGAAGGATTCTGTTTATTGATTTTAATTAGTGGAATTTTTTTAATTCTAGTACTATCAAATATTTTTTTTTCTATTCAATTAAAATCGTTTTTATTTTGTTTTTTCGGGGAAATATTTATTTAAAAAATTATTTTTTCGGGGGAAGGATATTTTTGTAAGAGTATTTTTTTCGGATGAATATTTTTAAGGGTTTTTCTTACTTTTCAAAAGGTATTTTTTCGGACAAATATTTTTAAAAAGATATTTTTTTCGGAAAAATATTCCTCAAGAGTATTTCTTCCCGGACGAATATTTTTGTAATAGAATATTCTTCCTCGAGATAAATATTTCTAAAAAGGTATTTTTTCGGACAAATATTTTTTGAAAAAGGTATTTTTTTAGGACAAATATTTCTCAAGAGTATTTTTTCCGGAGGAATATTTTTCGAAAAATATTTTGTTTCTCGTGACAAATATTTCTAATAAAAAGTATTTTTTACGGACAAATATTTCTGAAGAGTATTTCCTTCCGAACGAATATTTTTTTCAGAGAAATATCTCTAGTATTTTATCGGGAAAATTCTTCTAAGGAGTATTTTTTCCCAGACTGATATTTTGGAAAAAATATTGCTTCTCGGGAAAAAAAAATTCTAAAAAGGTATTTTTTCGGACAAATATTTTTAAAAGTGTATTTTTTTGGGACGATTGTAAATAGTATTTTTTTCTATCAAGTATTTTCAGAAAAGTATTTTTTTTCTCGAAAAATATTTTCTAAAGGGTATTTTTTTCTAGATTAAATATTCTCAAAGAAGTACTTTTTTTGGAAAAGTATTTTTGAAAGAGTTTTTTTCCTCCAACAAATATTTCTTAGAGTATTTTTTTCTCTTGAAAAATATTTTTTTAAAAATAGTATTTCTTCGTGAAAAGTATCGGAAAAGTATTTTAAAATTAGTATTTATACGCGAAAAAATTTCCCCATCTGAAAAACATTTTAAAAAAATATTTCTTCATTAGGAAGGTGAAATTTTTTTAATTCAGTGATTATGGTGAGGAAAAAAAGTGGACTGTGTATTTTTTTTTTTGAAGCTCCGGTGAAAATTTGGAATATCAAAAGTTGTCAGTGAAATCTTATTAGACTCAGATCACGTAACTGTGCTTCGTTGAGTAAACGAGGCATATAACATCCGTGACGAATGATCCATCCCTGTCAAAGGGAGTAATAAACAGCTACCCTACTCTCTCTCTCTCTCTCTTTCTTTCTCGATTCAGAACTCTCTGTGATCCAGTTTGAGGGAAAAAATACTGCTTTTCATTCAGAGACTGTTTCTAACTGTGAAAACTATTCGTTTATAGGGGAAAGAAGGAGGAGGGTGTGGGAGGAAGTGAAACTTTGGCAAATAAACCAAGCGCCGAAACCACACTTTTACCAAACATTTGAAACAGTTTGATCGAACAGTCAGTCAGTGAAAATCTATAGGACATTAAACTGCCTCGTTTACGCTCCAAGTTAATCTAAACTGACAGTCGCCAGGACAAGTTTACACCTCGGACAAATCTTCCTGACGTTCTATTTCATCATTGGCTTTCCAATCTTTATGAAATTTATTTTTTCGTGGTATTTTTTTTTCACTCTCATGGAATATCGAGTCTCGATGGAAATTTCCTCGGGAAAATCTCGATCGGTGGGAATTTCCTCAAGAAATCTCGATCTATATAAATTTCCTCGGGAAAATCTCGATCGGTGGGAATTTCCTCGAGAAATCTCGATCTATGGAAATTTCCTCGGGAAAATCTCGATCGGTGGGAATTTCCTCGAGAAATCTCGATCTATGGAAATTTCCTCGGGGAAATCTCGATCAGTGGGAATTTTCTTGAGAAATCTCGATCTATGGAAATTTGAAAGAAGAAATCTCAATCCTTGAAAATTTCATCGAGGAAATCTCGATCTATGGAAATTTTACTGAAAATCGTTCCTTCAGTGAGAAATTCCTCAAGAAAATCTTGATTTACTGAAATTTTTTCGAGGAAATCTCGATCCATCGAAATTTGATCTAAAAAATCTCGATCCTTGGAAATTTCCTCGAAAAAATCTCGATCAATGGGAACGTTCTCGAGAAATCTCGATCCTTGGAAATTTCTTCGAGAAAATCTCGATCGGTGGGAATTTCCTTGAGAAAATCTCAATCTACAAAAATTCAATCGAGGAAATCTCGATCGAGAAAACGTCATTTAGATAAATTTTTTTAATTTATAAAAAATTTTTGTTTTATTCCTCGCGAGTAATAAAATCTCTTTTTAACCCAATTTTTTTGTTTTCGACGAATAATTATACACGGAAGCATTGATTTTGAATGGTATTCATTCATCCTGTGTATTTTAATGAAGTGCGAAATGTTTCAAGTCATAGAAAGTAAATATAAAACAAAGTGTGCATAGAGTGGAAATAAAAAAAGGAAAAAAAATGAAAGCTAATGTAAATATTTTCCAACAACCAATCTTTTAATTCGACCCTCAGTTTACTGAGTAAACAGATTATTGTGCATCAAAGTATTATCTCCCTTTTTGCCGCGATGTAGATATTGGAAGTTTACTTCTTCTAAGCCTGTAATTTTTCCTTAAAGGCCCATCTAACTCTTTTATCAAAAAAATGTTTCTTCTTCCCTTCTTTCCCTTTTTAATGAAACGAAATAAAAATATTTAAATATGAAAATTTTAATATTGAATATTAATATTTATTTACTAAACTAAATATTAATATTTAATTACTAAATTGAATATTAATGTTTATTTAATAAACTAAATATTAGTATTTATTTAATAAAATTATAAAATACATTATTTATATTTACAATAATAAAAATTCTGTATAAAGATAAGTGTGTAAAACCGATTTTTGGTGTTAAATCGTCATTTCGTTTTGACCGCGCCCAGTTCGGGATCCTATGACAGATTCACTTTGACAATTTTTGTTCCGAATTGGTTTTATAGTTTCGCATATTTTTTCTGCACAAGGAGAATGATTTCCGAGTAGTTTATTCACTGAAAAAAAATTTAGTTGGATGAAATAACCGATTACTTTTCTATTATCAAATAAATATTTTTCAGAATCAAATAATTTTTATTTGAATCAAGTAATTTTTAATTAAATCAAGTAATTTTTAATATAATCAAGTAATTTTTATTTAAATCAAATAATTTTTATATGAATCGAGTAATTTTTATTGAAATCAATTAATTTATATTTGAATCAAATAATTTTTATTGAAAGCAAATAAATTGTATTTAAATCAATAATTTCTGTATTTGAAGCAAATATTATTTAATTGACTTAAATAAAAATTACATGATAAAAATAAATGCTTATTTGATAATAGACAATCATAATCGTTTATTTTAATCAAACAAATTTTTCTTTAATGGGGGTAATAAAAAATAATTTAATAGTTAATAATACAAATAGTTTAATAGGTTTCCGAATTGGCTTCAGTTTTGCATATTTTTCTACATGAGGGAAATAATAATTTTTTAATACTTAATAATGAAAATTATTTAATAGTTAATAATAAAAATCAGTTTATATAAAAAATGGTTCAACAGCTAATAATAAAAAGTAGTTTGAAGGCGAATGATAAAAATAGTTCGACAACCAATATAAATAATAATAATAATAATAATAATAATAATAATAATAATAATAATAATAATAATAATAATAATAATAATGTATTGAATAAAAAAAATTTTTTTAATAAAAATTGTTTATTATAGTTAATTTGAAAATAATTTACATAGAGAACGATTGGATAAATTTTGTAGGAAAGATGAAACGCTGTGATAAGAATGAACGGGGGTTTAGAACAGCGTTGTTGCAATTAATCACTTAGTGGTTTTATTTAATTACGTCTCGAAGACAAGGGGGTTGGCAAAAGGGCAGCAACTGGGAAACAGAGTGCATGATATTAACCCCCAGGTCGGGAGTATAAATCGAGTTCATATAGCTTTAGTAGACGTCCGCTGATGTGCAAGAGAGAGATGGGAGGGGAGGGGGTGAGTAGTTGTTCAGGAGTTCATCAATCATCGACGATAAATTCCGTCAAAAAAAAAAAACGAACCTATTCACCATTTTTTTTTCACTCCTCCTTTTTCCTTGAATAAAAAATATGTGAGTGACTTTTACTCGAGAATGGAGACTAAAACTTGTAAAGGGCACTCGTTCCCTCTCTCTTTACTCTCTTCTCTCTTTTCTTTTCTCTGTCTCTACTCTTCCCACTCTCTTCTTTCTTCACATTTTTCTTTTTCTTTTCACTTTCTTTTTTTATCTCTTCTTTCTTCACTGTTTCCACTTTTTTCTTTCTCTCTTCTTTCTTCACTCTCTCCACGTTTTTCTTTCTCTCTTCTTTCTTCACTCTCTCCACGTTTTTCTTTCTTTCTTCACTCTTTTCTTTCTTCTTTCTGTCTCTACTCTTCTCACCCTCTTCTTTCTTCACCATCTGGACTTTCTTCTTTCTCTCTTCTTTCTTTACATTTTTCTTTCTTTTTTCTCTCTTCTTTCTTCACTGTTTCCACTTTCTTCTTTTACTCTCTTCTTTCTTCACTCTCTCCACTTGTTTCTTTCTCTCTTAACTCTTCTCTCTCTATCTTATTTCAGAAGAGAGGGAGATGGAGAAAGAAAGAGAGTTTTTCTCTCTTCTTTCTTCACTGTTCACTCTCTTCTAAAAGAAGAAAGAAAAAGAGAAGAGTGAAGAAAGAAAAACTCTTTTTTTTCTAGTGAAGAAAGTAGAGAGCGAGAGAGAAAGAACAAAAAAGAGAGAGATAGAAAGAAAGAAGAGTGAAGAAAGAGGGAAATAAAGAAGAGTGCAGAAAGAGAGAAAAATAGAAGAGTGAAGAAAGAGAGAAAAAAGAAGAGTGAAGAAAGAGAGAAAAATAGAAGATTGAAGAAAGAGAGAAAAAAAGAAGAGTGAATAAAGAGAGAAAAATAGAAGAGTGAAGAAAGAGAGAAAAAAAGAAGATTGAAGAAAGTAGAGAGCAAGAGGAAAACAGAAAGAAAGTAAAAAAAAAGAGAGAGAGAAATAAAAAAGAGAGAAAGGAAAAAAGGAGTCATATAGAGAGAGAGAGAGGGAGAGAAATAGTGTGTGAAGTTGAATCTATCGAAAATCCCCGCTGGTCATTCGCGGTAGAGAGATCATTAGGATCGTATTCAAGATTCGCGTCAAGAGCCCACTCTCAACGGCCGCCAACGAGCAGCTTTCGTCACGGAACAAACTTTTCTCCCCCTCTTGGAAATAAAAGTCCTCTTCTCTACACCGACAACTATCTTCTTTTTTAGGGGGAGAGGAAGGGGAGCAAGAGAGAGATAGTCAGGGGTTGACTTTTCTATATACTTTGCCAGCAAGAGGGATAAAGGTCAACGTTGAACTTTTCATCCGCATTTCTGCCTCATTGAGTTTGCTTACCAGGATACTTCTTCTAACTTAATTCCTTCCCGAAACTTGACTTCGAAAAGCCAACCTGAGGATCAGCTGAAAATATATATATATATATATATATATATATATATATATATATATATATATATATATATATATATATATATATAAATGTATAGTTCCTGATGAAATCGTTTCGTAAATTTAAGGCGTGGTGAAACTTGACATTTTTTTGTGTATTATGTGCGGGAAAGATGATTTGTTATATGGGGGATGATTTTTTTTTACCTTTTTGGAATTTTTTTCCAAATTACAGTTTCACATTTATTTTTCTAATTCTCAGCGAAAATGAGAATTTATACATTTTATAGTTAATTAATAATTAATTTATTAATTATCTTTAATTAATGAATGAAATTAATTTAATTCTGATTTAATTAAAATCAAAAGTTGCAACAAAAATGAAAAAAAAATTGAAGGAAAAGAAGAATTAAAGAACTGAAAAAATTACACAAAATACTGAAAGAAGCAAAAAGGGAAATCCCCTCCAAAAAACAGTTCGATTAAATGAAAACCAAAAGAAAAAAAATTTTTTCTTATTGTATATCAATAAAATAGAATCTTTTTGAAAAAAATAGGGCCGTTTTTTCTTTTTTTTGTTATTGTTAAAGTGTATGTGAGTGTATATGTTTTTCTTTTTCTCGCACTGATCGATTTGCGATGCGAGTGCATGAGAGCCAATCAAGGAGTCCCTTTCTGTTAGTTACTGAAAGGCATTGCTGCCCTCGTTTCGTTCTGTTGAACACAAGCCATGCTCCTAACAGTTAGGCAACTCAACTGTTTGGTGGGAGGAGGGTTAAAAGCGATTTCGACCTGCTGGCAAATTCAAAGCAGCAACATCCTCTGCAAAGTCAAAAGAATTCAACTTCCATTCACTCCTTAACATTTTCGATTCTATCGAATTTCCCAAACGATCATGTCTCTTTATTCGAAAAATAGAAGAAAAAGAAAAAAAAAATTTTTTTTTTATTCTAGATTTAATTGAGTTAATTTCAATGATAAACAAATAAGAAGTGAAATAAAGTGTAAATAAATAAATAATTTGCAATTATTGCAAAATAAGAAAAAACGAAAGAAAAGAACTAATAATGGAAGAATTAACACTATGACAAATAGTTAATTCAAAAATAATAATAATAATAATAATAATAATAATAATAATATACAAAAAAAATTATAATAATTAACAACAATTTGACTAAGAAATTATAATATAGTTTACAATAAATAAAGAAATGAAAAAATTACTAAACAAAAAAAATTAACTTATAAATTGTAATAAATGAATAAATAAGTATAATATATAATTATAATAAACCTAATAAATTATTATATAATTTGTAATAACGAAATAATTAAATACTTTAACGACAAAATAGCTCAAAAAAATTACATTTAATAAACAATTAGAACAACATCAACATAGCTTTAAATTATGATAAAGTGATAAATAATTTAACAACAAAATAACTAATAAATAATTGCAATTAATAAATAATTTAAAATTTCATCCAATAAGTAATTAAAATAAATTGAATTAATTTCTAGTTAATTAATTAGAAGGAATATAATTATTAAATTAAAAGAAAATAATAAATAATTTAACAACAAAATACCTGATAAATAATTGTAGTTATAGCAAATAATTTAAACAAATAGTAACAAGGAAAATATTCAATAACTAATAAATTACAATAAAACGGGAAATAGTTTACTTATTCTTTAAAAATAAATTATATGTTTAAAAAAATATTGTTTAAAATAAAAAGAATAAATAAATAATAACAAAAGATAAATAATTATTATAAATTAGGAAAAAAAGGATAAATAATAAATTGGAAATAAATTGGAATTAGCAAATAATTAAAAGAATAATACCATACAACAATAATTAATATAAATAAACAAATGAATAAACAAATAAACAAAAAATAAATAAACAAATAAATAAACAAATAAATATATAACAATATATAAAAATATATAAATGAATAATAAATAATAAACAATAATTAAGGACATACAATGCAATTAATTAACAAGTAGCGTTGAATTAAAAATGAAACTTAGATTCTGAACTTTATTTCACTCTGATATTAATTATTAAGTTGATAATAAATTTATAGAGAATAGAGAAAATTTTTTTACAAATAAAAAATTCAGTGGCTTGAATTGTTAATTAATTTAAGTGAATTTTTTTGTGTGTTTCAGTTTGAGAACGTGTGTGTTTAATTTTTTTAAATAAAAATTTAAACATAATACTCAGCTCATCTATATAAAAAAAAGTATTCGTGAATCGAGTGATGGGTGATCAGCGTGTACCACAAAGATCAAAGTGGCGCGTGGATAAAGCATTAAAGTGACTTAAAAAAAAAGTGCAAGGAAGAAAAAAAGGGCGAGATTAAAGTGACAAAGTGCTTAACGCGCTGGCGTCGAAGCTCCGAAGGAAGAATTCAAAAAAGAAAAAAGAAAGTTAATCTAGGCAAGGTGAAAAGATGAGGTGTCTTCCGATCGTTGTCTTCATCGCCCTACTCACCAACGTCAGCACACAAGGTCAGTTTTCATCGTCAATTTTTTATATAATATTATAATATACATAGACTAATTTTTTGTGTTCAATTTTACACTGACACAGACACATTTTTATCTTTTATACTTTCTTTTTTATTTTTCGCCTCTTTTTCTTTTCTTTTCTTTTTTTTTCTTTTTGTATCTTTTTTTTCTCCCCGGATTTTATCGATGAAAACGCTTAGCTGTTAAATCCTCACACGCTGATCACTGAATTGCGTGTATTTCACCTTAAATGTCCTGCCTCGTCATTCGGAAAATTTCTTTTCCTTCTCTTTTCGAGTTTTATCGAATCTTGAATATATCATGTCTCTATTTATATTTCGCGGTTAAACTTGGAAATCTTTTAGTTTTTTTCGAGGAATAAAAAAATAAGATTAAAATTTTTAAATAAAAAAAAAGTTAAAAAAATTTAAAAAGTTAAATAAAAAATAATAATAAATAAAATAAAAGAACTATAAATAAAACATAAAATTAATAATAAAATAACAAATTTTAATTTAATTTTTTGTTTATTTTATTTTATTATTTTACTTTAATTTTTATTTTTTAATTTCTTTTCTTTATCATTTTATTTTAAATAATTTACCTATATATTTAAATTTAATTAAAATTAATTTAAATTAATTTTTTTAATTAATTTAATTTAATTTAATAATAAAACTAATAATTTTTTTTTATTATTCTTATTTTTCATTGTTATTATTAATAATTATTATTGTACATATTTTAATTATTTATCATTTTCAATTTCAATCGGTTGTAATTTTCTTTTTTCGCAAATTATATATTGCGCAAATTTTAATTAATTGTTTCATTAAATAAAAATGCATTTAATTTGCATTTAATAAATTAAATACCATAATTATTATTTTTATTCCACCAAAGATATTTCATATTTTAATCGGATTATATTTGTGTAAATTATTGTCGAGAAATTTCTTCCTTTTTTTTTTAATTTTACACATCATTTTTATAATTGAATGAGTTTTTAATATTGATAATTTTTAATTGATTGGATAAAAAAGATTACAATATTTAAAAGCTTTTGAACTAAACTTTAAAGTAAATGAAAAATATTTATATTGCTATTTACTTTTTTTTAATATTTTTTTTATAAACTGTTATTTGCACTACATCAAAGGAAATATTTATTTGTATATAAATGTTAATAATTTTGCCTATACATAATATTGATAAATGTTAATTATATTATTTTTAATTGGCATTTTGGATATATATGCAGATTGTCACTAATTAAAGGGTTAATCATATATATGTATATATTTGACCTGAAGCGTGTTATATCGATAAATACAATTATACGAGATAATTTGCAAACCATGTAGAAATTAAATTCTAATTGTATTTTTGTGTGCGGGGGATTTTCGATTTTTATTTGGTTGAATTAATTAAAAAAATTTATTGATTTTTGTTTGTAAAAATGCTCTTTGACCGAATTTCTATTTTAGTTACATTTTTACCCTGGATTTTTATTTTTACGAATTTTCATTTGAGTGAAATTTTATATTAATGATGGAATTTTTATTTTTTGTTTTCTTTGAGCTAATAATGTTTGACTTTAATATTACAGTTTTATACAAATTTTAGTGTGTGAATTTTTAGGTCAACTAAATTTTCTATTTGATCGCATTCCAACCGGATTCTGACTATTTCTTTTAGGAAAAAAAAATTTTGTTTGCGTTGATTTTGTTTTGATTGAATTTTAAGTTTTGAGTTACTCTTTTCTTGAATTTTTATTGAATTGAATTTAGAATTTTTACCTGAAAATAATTTAATTTAATTTCAATTCCGACATTTTTTCTAGAAAAACATTTCTCCATTTGAATATATTCCAAATGAACTGAATCAAAAAACTTTGAATTGAATTTCGAATTTCGACCTAAAAATAATTAAATTTATCTTTCGTTCTGGCAGTTTTTTCAGGAAAATAATTTTTCCAGTTGCGTTGATTTTTTAACTGAACACTAAGATATAGTTGAATTTCTCGTCTCTTGAATTTTTAGTGAATTGAATTTGAAATATTGACCTAATAATAATTTAATTTAATTTCAATTCCGAAAATTTTGTTTGGAATAATATTTTTTCTAATTATTTTTATTTCTTTAAGAATTGAATTGCAAATCTCTTGTTTTTAGGGAATTTCAAATTTTGACCTAATAATAATTGAATTTAATTTCAATTCTGAATGTTTTTCTTAGGTTAATATATTCTCTGTTTGCATTGATTTCTATTTCAATAACTTTCAAATAATTTAATTTCCATTCTCTTAAATTTTTTCTTATGAAATTTATTTACGAATTTTGACCTAAAAATAATTGAATTTGATTTCAATTCCGAAAATTTTGTTTGGAATAATAATTTTTCTAATTATTTTGATTTCTTCGACAATTGAATTAAATTGCAAATCTCTGAAGTTTTTATGGAATTTCAAATTTTGACCTAAAAATAATTGAATTTTATTTCAATTCCGTCTGTTTAGAAAAATAATTTTTCTATTTGTTTTAATTTTAATTCGAATAAAAATTTCAACTGAATTAAATTTTTATTCTCTTGAATTTTTTTTCTTATGAAATTGAATTTCAAATTTAGACCTAAAAATAATTGAAATTTAATTTCAATTTCAATTCCGTCTGTTTTTTTAAAATAATTTTTCCATTGATTTCAATTTCTATTTGAATGACTTACAAATAATTAAATTTCTATTCTCTTGAATTTTTTCTTATGAAATTTAATTACGAATTTTTACCTAAAAATAATTGAATTTAATTTCAATTCCGTCTGTTCAGGAGAATAATTTTTCCATTTGTTTTAATTTCATTTTGAATAAAAATTCCGACTAAATTAAATTTCTATTCTCTTGAATTATTTTTCTTATGAAATTCAATTCTGAATTTTGACCTAAAACCTATTGAAATCAATTTCCATTTCAATTGTTTTTTTATGGTAAATAATTTTTCTTTTTGTGTTTATTTCTTTATGACAGGATTCAAATTTGAATTTTATTTACAAACCAAGTGAATTTCTCTTGAATTTTTATTAAATTTAATTTCAAATTTAGACCTAAAAATAATTGAAATTTAATTTCAATTTCAATTCCGTCTGTTTTTTTTTAGAAAAATCATTGTTCCATTGAATTCAATTTCAATTTGAATAAATTCCAAATAAATTAAATTTCCATTCTCTTCTTTTCATTTGCAAAGAAATAAATTCCCGTCGTTTAATATTTATTCCCTTCGCACTTCTATCGAATAAAGTGTTTTACACACACACACACACATACACATCAACTCCTGAAATTTCGTTTTAGCCGAAAGAAGAGAAAGAATAAGAAATAAAAAATCAAAATTGTCGCTCGGGGCAAGTTGCGAATTGCAATTTTTCTTTTCAAGCAGAGAAACGGAATAAAAATATATATGCACAGTAGATTATTTTTATTTTTTTTTGCTTTTATTCAACTCAACGTTCAACATATATTAGTAATGACATTTTTGCTACCTGGAAGAAAATTTCTTTTTTTTCGGTACACCTCAAATTGTAAGCTTTTGTTGTAAGAGTGTTGAACGGTTTATTATTATGTTTTTTTTTTTGCCCTTTTAAGAAAAAGGGGTCATTGTGTAATTATAATTGGACAGGATTTAATGGTTGCACGTGTGAAACTATATATTTAAAGTTTATAAGTGTATATGTGCATTATATGTGAATATGTGTACATGTGAATTTGTATATGTTTATAAGTGTATATGTGCATTAGTAGTTGGCTAAATGTGTATATGTGTAATTTTATATGTCTGAAAATGTATATGTGCATTTGTACATGTCCACATGTGCATACGTGTAATTGTATATGTCTATAAGTGTATATGTGCATTTGTACAAGTCTGCATGTGCACATGTACATTTGTATATGTCTATAAGCGTATATGTGCATTTAATATGTTTATATGTGCATATGTGTAATTGTATATGTCTATATGTGCATATGTGTAATTGTACATGTCTAAAAGTGTATATTTGCATTTGTACAAGTCTATATGTGCACATGTGCAATTGTATATGTCTATAAGCGTATATGTGCATTTGTACCTTTATATATGTGCACATGTGCATTTGTATACGTCTATAAGCGTATATGTGCATTTGTACATGTGCACATGTGTACAAAAATGTGTATATGTGTCAAAAAGTACATGTGTGAGTGTATATTGTTGTATTATTCGCGTGATGGCGCTGAGGTCCATACGCGTGCGTGTCGCACGATTACAAGAGGCGTGGCTGTCGAATTACGGTGGCGTTGGGGTCTAATGTTACGTTCTGATCGGCACGGTTGGTTACATGAGCACCCCAAGATCTCGGATCGTTGCCTTTCAAGTTCGTAACCCACAGGTTGTTACAAGAGGGGCGCGTGTCTGTTCATTGTTGCGTATCACAGGACCTGCCTCCTGCTTCTCGTCTTTCTCGCACACTTAAAATATTTCACGTCCTAATTGAATTTGAATAACTACCAAAAAAAAAAATTCCCCCCTCCCCTATTCTCCCTTTTTTTACTTCTCAATTAATTCGAGATCCATTCATTTCGATACGACTCTTCATATATATTCGACCAAAAAAAAAATAATTACACTTATACACTAAATAATTCATTACTTTTTTATATTTCCGTAACAACTAATTTTTTTCACTAGGTAAAATTACAAATTTGACTAATTTAGGTCAACACATAACCATAAACTATAATTTAGGTCAAAAATCATAATTGTAAATATAATTTAAGTCAAAAATCATAATATGTAAAAAATATTTTAAAAAATATATAAAGTAATTAAATATAAAAAAAAATATTCCTAAATAATAGAATTAAAAATATTTAATTAATAAAAATAGAAATCTGAATAATTTAGGTCAAAAGTTACAACAGTTGCTACAATTTAGGTCAATAGTAAGTAAGGTCCAAATAATGAAAA